TGAGATCCTGTAACAACCAAATAGAATATGAATATATATATATATATATGAATAGAATATGAATATATATATATATATATATATATATATATATAATGTGTATTTGCATATATATGCAAAGGGTACATAATGACTCAGATGACAGCAACTGGGTGTGGGCACATCGTGAGCTACATCCACCTAGTTATTTAACATTCATTTGAGACAGACATGTGTTGTACTTTTGATCAACTGTGTCAACTTCAAACTTTTAGGAGCTTATCTAAATTCGCTCAGCATTCCACACGCTAGGGTGGCTCAACACTTAATGTATATAAGAGCGACATAAGGGAAACAGACATTTCCTTTTCTTTCAAGGAGCTCCACTCTTCACCTTCAGTTTCAGTGTCATTTCCTGGCTGCTAGGGCAGACTTTTGGACATCTGCCTTGCTTCCTCCAGCCTTCCCTTGTAGACCTATGGGCCTTCTGTCACGGACACATTGGTCTCTTGAGATGGAGTTGCGTGGCACGCTGCTGTGAGCTCTACACCCTGGACGGAGTTCTCTAGTTTCCATTGTGTAGACATTGTCTGCATGCTTACTCCTCTGACTCTGTGGCTGACTGTCCGAAGTAATTTCTTATACATTAGTACATCTCGCTGTATATGTACTTCTCCGGCAAAACCCTCCAGCGACACATTGGTAGAGTACTCAGATCAAAAACATTTTTAAAAAACCAAAACCAAAAAACTCCATATGTAAAAATTAACATGAATCCATAGGTACATATATGTTATAGAACATATGGCAGGTAAACCATTTCTTCTCACATTATTTAAAAACCCTGTAAAATATCTGGATATAAACATATCAAGAAATATTATTGAATAAAGCTTATGTAGTATAACAAAAATATACATTGCACACATATATAGCTATCAGTAAAAGAGGATTGAAAGAACAAAATGAAATATAAATCTTGGAAAAGCCAATGTTCCACTACATACCTCCAAGTTCTTCCACAATGTACCCTATTAAATCAATACATTGGCATCATATAGTCAGCGGTGTTTACACTTGCTTATGACCAGTCAATTCTAGAATCACAAAAGCGACACTACAGGAAAGCCTTAATAACTGCAAAAGGGACGTGTGAGAAGAGAAACATAAATGCCAGTATGAAAATATACTATAGACAACACACTGAAGACAGGATACTCCTCAAAAAAAATGCAATAAGATACACTGAATGATTCAGAAACAGTGGGGTACATGAAGGAATTTATTATCCATTAACAAAAAAGTTGAGAAATACAAAAGAAAGAGAAGATAAAATGTGATAATTTTGTTATAGCAAAAATAGAATAAATTCTGCCTTAAACAGAAAACAAAATATCCAGAAAAATTTCAACTTCAAGAAATGAGGATGACAGTTTCTAGTGAATATCTTCTATGAGGAAAAGAAGTTGCATCAGTTATTAAGCATACCAGTGGTGTAGTAGACTATAGTACCTAATTTCACATATGGTTCAACTTTGAATTCAGGACTTCTGTGCATATTATTAGGAAACAAGTTCAATGATAAGACTTCTTTCTCCCAGAATGTGTTTTGTCTCTGATCCCCGTCAGACAGTTTTTTCTGGTTTTGCCAAAATAATGTAGCACTTGGGGATAAAGATGCAGCCCAGCAGCCCTGCACTGGAGGCCAAGATGGAAAAGACCTCCATGGCCACCATGGCCTTCCCCTTGCTGCTGTGGCACACGGGCAGGAAGGTGACATACACGCTGCAGAACACCAGCATGCTGAATGTCAGGAACTTGGCTTCTTTGAATGTGTCAGGCAGATTCCTGGCCAGGAAAGCCACAGTGAAGCTCACCAGGGCCAGGGAGCCCAGGTATCCCAGGACACAGTAGAAGGCGGTGAGGGAGCCCTTGTTGCACAGGATGATGACGTGGCCATGCTCAGAGTGCACATCTGTGTCAATGTAGAGTGGATTTGTCCCCATCCAGATACCACATAGAGTGAGTTGGATCAGGGAGCAGATGGGAATGATGGAGATGGTGCACCTGACACTAGCAACTGCCTCATTCTTCTGCCTGGACCAGTGAACTTAAAGGCCAGCACCACAGTAATAGTTTTTGCCAAGACAGTAGAAACAGCCACAGTGAACACAACTCCAAATGTGGTCTGCTGCACGATGCAGGTGGCTGTATTGGGTCAGCCAATGAAGAGAAAGGAGCAGAGGAAACAGCAGGTGAGGGAGATTAGCAGGGTGTAGCTCAGAGCCCTGTTGTTTGCCTTGACAATAGGAGTGTCTCGGTGGTTCACAAAGAGCCCAAGGACAGCACCTGTGAGCACAGTAAGACTCAGGGCAGTGCCAGCCAGAGCCTTCCCCAAGGGGTCTTCATAAGCCAGAAAGCTCACAGACTTTTTGAAGCAGTGGTTTCTCTGACTGTTGGCATACTGATCTTCAGGACATTTCACACACTGTTCCATATCTGGGAAAATTATATTTGTTGCTTGACTACACTTATTGTTATCATTTTTATAGGCTTATGCCGAGAAACTCATTGGAGTTGCTTGGACTAAATTGTCATTTTTTGGTAGTTTTTCTTGTTTATTCTTTCATTGTGTGTGTTTTACTTTATGTGCGACTGACCTCAAACTTTACACTGATAAATATTTCCCACTACTTTACATTTTCTTAGTTTGAGAAAGGATCTCTTTAAATCATTAGGTTGCCATTGCTGTGTTCTGACTTAAAATCTTGTTATCTCATCTCCCAGATCCCTGGACTGCAGGCATGCTCTACCACATCTCACTTCCCCATGATTTTCTAGGCACAAATTAACAGCACGTATGTAGAGATTAATTCCAAAATAACACTATTTCTCATAGTTTTACTTCTACATCTGGCATATGCATAAAACATTGTGTTTTTACAAAGTAATAAGATCGACCTTTATTACTTAACTTACTTATATGATCTAAGTCAAATCTCTATTAATGCTTCCCCAGATATTTCATCTATTACTAAAGCTATCGCCTCTGTAAAAATTCCCAACATTCTCTCCTGCCATGTAGGTATTATCACTTGTTAAACCCCGTATTCTGTGTTCATATCATTCTTAAATTTCTGTGGTATAGTCTCTAATTCATGCTTCAAGCTGTCTCCCCTACTGGCCTGTGCATTCCAGAGTAATTGGGATTAATCCTAAAAGTTGGACTGTGCTGTGTTATAAGCATATTTTACATGAAATACAACCCCCTTCTTCTAATCAAACTCACTCTCTCTGAGCATGGGCTCTGTTTTAATAATTGTGTCAGCCACTGGAATCTGAAGTGGGCCTGCCCTTGTCTTGAATATAATCTTGCTGTGGTTCCAAAGGTTGTAAATGATGGACTTTAATACTGCTCTGCATTAAACTTCACAATGGAGATGGAGCACAGAAGCTGTGTTTAGAGGGACAGGACTTGTGTGGAGGAAATAATGCTTTTAATGGAACTAGAAAAATAAACCAATGTACATAGGTATGATAATGCATATGTATTATTTCAGATACTTAGTGGGCTGACATAGATCTATTGAATGTTTGAGGCAGTCTGAGCCAAATTGATGACATTCTGTCTTATAATGACAAATAGGAATACCTGGGCACAAAGACCACTGATAAAGCAATTTTTGGTTCCATTTCTAGCAGTGCAAAACAACAAATAAAAAGAAGGATGAATAAGAATGGCATAAAAGGAAAATGACTTTCAGTGAATTTCAAAGAGGAAAATGTGTTTTCCAACAGGCAGTAACCATCTATAACAAATAATTTGACAGTGAAGGAAGTGTTTTACCTTTGGTGTCCTCTTCAACTTTTTTGCCATTTCTGTCCTGTGGATGGAGTGAAGATAACACAGAGTGAGACTGTCTCGCCAGGACACGTTCCTACCTGTGTCATTGGTGATCTCTTTGTCTACACATGGGGTGCAATCAAAACAGCAGGCAGCCTTTCCCTCCTGAGGACTTTTCCTAAAGCCAGGAATGCAACTCTCAGTGCAGAATGAGTGAGGAGTCTAAGGAAAAAAATATATTTGGTAACTTCTTAGACATTTACTTACTTCTTTTGCGCTAGAGGGATGAGCTTAAATTGTACGCGTACATAAGCAAAATTATTTACTTGCATGGTAAACTTGGTTCATATTATTAAATATACTTAGAAATTAATAATTAATTAAATGCATTAT